GTCAAACATGGCTACTGCAGCTAGACCATCGTCTGGAAGGGGAAGAGGCATTCTTGCAGCTAATTTTTATGGCAGACTACAACAAGAAGCATCAAAATCTGAGTCAAATGAAAGCACTCTATTAGCTAAATCGAGGGAAACAACGAGTGCTTACGTTGGAAAAGGAAGGAGTGTCACATTTGCTATTAATGCCTCACCACCAGGACTGACTGTTACAGAGGAAGGAAAACGTTTTGCACGAAACATTGGTAACGGAGTGAAAGGTGATCAGAGCACTGATCCTGCTGAAGCAGCGAGAGGCACAGAAGAATCGGAGAGAAAAGAATCCAGTAACGGGGCGTTTAAGGAAGACAACCAAGAATCAAAAGATAATTATCAGAATACTGATGACGACAAGTTGATTGGTGTGCCCGGTAACAGATTACTACATAAAGATGGAATTACCGACATAGAGGAAACCAAGAAAGACACACTCGAAAAAACTACAACTGACGATGAGAGGAAACTCCCAACGGATGAGAATACGAACAACCTCGCTGGAACCAATCAGCCCGAGAGTATGCAAGAAACAGGAGTTCAATCTGTCAATTCAAGCTCTAACGCAACAAACAATGGAGCATCGTATCCCAAAGAACCATCGCCTTTTAATCACCCTCAAAGGGCTCCAGCGTCAGAGAACTTAACACCGACAGCTTCACAGGAAAGCGTCAATGTACGAGATATAGTGGAAGAAGGACGAGCTGCAGACTCAGATACAGGTAAAAACAAACAATATGTATTTCTCTGAAGTGAGCTTTGGTGTACTCGAAACTTTTCTAGGGCTACTCGGTTAACTTAGTAATTTCTTGAAGGTTTCACAGTAGCCTGTGGAAAATATTATTTCTGACGATTGAGGGACGAATTAGTCGGAAATTATCATTCTGAGGGCACCCTGGAGAGACTCGCTGTGCATCACGAGATGCTTAGGGACTATTTAAGGTTTTGGGGGGAGATTTAAGTCATTTTAGGTCGGTCAGTCGTTGCGTTCGGATACAGTGAATCTGATGGCTGACTGATGCATCCTCAATAAACTTTTCACATTGAATTTCTCGTGTGAGTGTAGTCAGAATCAACTCGTTTTGAGTACCAATGCGGACAATGATATCTTACGTACTATTACATTGCATTACTGTTATTCGATAGCTGATTCAGTCTATTTATTAGCATTTCACAGGACCAATACTTGTTGCAGGGCTAGCCTGTCTGCCTCGGTGGTCTGAGCTAACCACTGTGACTGACTAGCAAGTTAGTATTAACATCTCAGCATTCCACAGAATGCCCTGTACGATAGTGAAACGTCTTTGCGGCCTAATAAACTGGCAAGGGAACCAGACAGTACTTATTACACATATGTTTTAATTTTAGGTTCAAAACCACTCTTCGAGATGCAAAAACCTCATTCAACCGGTGAACCAAAATGTTCCATGTGCATGAATTTAAACAAAGATCCTGTTTACCCAGGCAACTGTGGTCACTATTTTTGCAAGTCCTGCACGAAGTACTTTATTGAGAAGACGGTGATCTGTCCAGTTTGCAAGAAAGAGAATCAGTTTCGAGGGAACCAACCAGTAGGGTACATGACGTGCAGGACTGAGGCACGGAATTCACTTCCGGGATACAAGGAGTTTGGAACTATATTCTTGACTTTCAACTTTGACAATGGAATTCAAGGTATTATTGAATAAATTAGTTTTGTTGGCAAGTCCGTTTTCATTTATTTTGATTAAATAATGATGCACGTTCCTTTTGTTAGGTTCAGAGCATCCAAATCCAGGAGAGCCTTACTGTGGTTTATTTTGTACATCCTACCTCCCTAACAACCCAGCGGGACAAGAAGTGTGCAGCCTGCTGAGGAGTGCTTTTCATGCACGATTGATATTCACTATTGGGAACTGCCCAGCTACCGGAGAAAAGAACAAAATAGTGTCCAACGGCATCGAACTGAAATGGAATCGAAGTGGAGGCCCAGCTAAGTACGATTTTGCCCATAATACCTACAACTAAATCTTATAGTAATAGCAGAGCCGGGGTCCCTTTTTTTACAAGTATTGAAGTTTAGAATATAGCCCACAGGAAATACGCGCGCTGATTGGTTTACAGCCGATTTCAGTGCAGTGTATAGACCCTGGTTTTGAAACATGATTCGTCCATGATGATTCGCCCGTCATGATTCGACCGCGAGGCTACCACAGCTCTACTAATTTCGTAAATGATGAGATATCAAGTTAAAGACTATTTTCGAAAATTTAAGGTAAAAACCTTGGTAGCATTCATTTAAGATAAGTCGTTATTTTCAGCTTTTAGCGGCAAAAACAGATCGACGGTTTAACTGGTGCATCACTTCTCGCATTCAACAGGTAAACCTCAAAAACAGTTTAATAGCGATTAGATTCAGCGTTACTTTCAATGAATTCATCACAGGAGACGAAAATGAACACTAACACACGTGAGATGAAAGAAATTGTCGCTTGCAATAATTTATTTTAAAGCCATCATCAATCGCGGATGAGTGCAAAATTACATTTCTTGACAGGAAGGCGTGACACGTTCTCGACTCGTTGTGTTGAAACTTGAAAGAAGAGAAAATTGAACAATTCGGGTACGGGCTAAAATACCTAATTGTGCATACGCTTTGTGGACATTATATTGTCATTTGTTGTCGTATTTTGTGGATATGTAGTTGAAGTTTGTAGTGTTTGTAAGGTACATTTCGGTGCATCATACATAATATACTTAAGCGCAATGTAAGTTGGGAAGTTGATCATTAAAGCAGCATGGCGGACTTCTAGATTGGATTCGTGTGTCGTATCCGTTCATTGCAATAATCCAGTTCCATCGGTTGTGGAACGTGACAAAGTTGAAGCACAACGATCACAGAAAAATGCGAATGACAAAATGAAACTGACATGTTATTGTCGCGCCGCCGAAGCGATGCAAATTTAATCTACGCTTGGCAATAACTAATATTCATGACGCTAATAATTCAAAAAGGATATACTGTGAAGGAAAATATTATTTGCCATCGAAAAATACTAGCAGAATGTATTTCTCTTGTCAAATGTTGCTATTTTAACTCATCTCCTATCCTGACTTTCGCGGGAAAAAAATTAAAAACTCAGCGCTCGTCAAAAATTATATTTTTTCACCAGAAATTTAGCTCGGAACATATACATA